ATTCCTGCTATTTATACTGGCCATTAAAAAATGCAGTGATAGTTACCAAATAGACATTTCATACTATAAAGGCTACCTGTGTAAGACAACCACATGATTTATTTGACTCAAGCAACTGAAGTGTCACATTAGCTACAAAGTCTTGAACTCATTTTTGCTCAGAACGTAGTTTTCTTCAGGGCAAGTATGAACCAGAGCAATAATTATAAAAAGCAAATTCTGCTTCAAAGTGCATATGGTCATTTGTTTTAAGACAGATGTGGAAAAACTGCGAAGCTATCCAATGATGTGTGGAAGTAAGTAGATTTTAGGATGGATCGTTCTGCTTCTGCATTTTAATGAGATTTATTCACATGAAAGTGAAAGAAAACATACACTCCCAGTAACTAAGTAGAACTGCAAGTACTGATCATTCTAGCTGTGAACAATGACTCATCACTGCTTACCAGGTACGCTGCCTGACTCTTGAAGGCTCGCGTGTGATACCTGCCTCCTCGACCAAATGTCCTTATGACAGGTGTGGAAATCACTCCTCTTGGACGACTATAGAAGACAGAACAAAGTCCACATGGTTTTAAATTATAGAAACAACTGATGCTAAAGGACACCAGACATACAGTCCTCTATCTGGTGTCCGTGCAAATTCTCAGTCATCCAGGTCGTAGTATGCTGAAAAAAATTAGAAGAAAGCATCTGGACGTAGTTTTAGATACTAGACATTTCACCTCTCATCCAATAGGCTTCATCAGTTCTGTCTGACTGGTGGGGAGCAGGAGGGCCTTGAAGTGGGCCTTCACCAAGGCAAGGAAGAGGCCCAGGACCAACAGGGAGAAACCAGAAACAAGAGGGGATAACACTGTCATCCCTTATGTGGCTGGGTTATCAGAGAAGCTGAAAGGGATTTTTCACAACCACGATATCCCAGTCAACTTTGAGCCAGAGAACACCCTGCGGTAAAGACAGGTCCATCCGAAGGACAAAACACAGAGTGATGTGGTGTATGCAATTAAATGTAGTCAGGAGTGTAACGACCTGTACATTGGGGAAACAAAACAGCTGCTGCACAAGCGCATGGTCCAACACAGGAGGGCCAACCTCCATGAACCAGAGTCAGCAGTCCACCTCCACCTGAAGGACAAAGGGCATGTCCTCTAACTCAGCCGTTAGAGGACAGTGTTGTCCACCAAAGGACTGGAACCCCAACGACTCAGTTGTTAGGGGACATTGTTGGCCGTCGAAGGACTGAAACACCACCCAGTGGGATAAATACCTCCTGCTCACCACCAGTCAGAACTGATGAAGTCTCATGGATGAGAGGTGAAATGTCTTCTACCTAAAACTATGTCCAGATGCTTTCTTCTAAGTTATTTCAGTCCCCTATCTGATCTTACCCTCTGTTTGGTCCACCTATTGACACCACCTGAACAGGGAAGCCTCCTCTTCCTCTGCTGCGTCGACTTCCAGCCCACTGCCCCACCACAGTACCAGCAATCTCCAGCTTCCCTCCTTGTGATGAGATTCCTTCAAGTCCTCAAAGGAAGAGGAAAAGGAAGTGGTGTTAAAGTGTGAACTTGAGTGTTCAACTGATTTACCTTGGTGTCTGCTCTGGCAATAACAGGGTGTGGTTTTAGGCAGGTTCACCAGAAACTTGGCCAATGTATAAAAATCCTTTAAGTCTGAGAATTTTAAAAACAAATACAAAAGCTAGATGGCCTTTTACCATTCATGGCTTCACTTACCAGGCATCCCCCTACCTCTCCCCTGAGGAGGCATCAACGGTGGAGGGAGGTAGAAGGAACCGGTGGGGGGGTAGAAAGACATCCCATGAGGAGATGGAGGCGGGGGGAAGAGAGGAGGATGAGGTGGACGAGTGAAGCCGAGACCTTCCAAGATACTCTGACGCATCTTCTCTACCTTGGCAACCAGTTCAGGCTGAAGACAAAAAAATGAATCAAAACCAGTGCAGACTGGTTCATTAGGTCAGCTGCTGTGAAGTCTGATATACTGTATTCTATTATGGAGCCTTGTGACACTCAAACCTGTTGACATGTGAAAGCTAACTACTGGTGAAAAGATACATTTTTGACCTTAGCTATAGAGCACATCCATGTCTGTGCTTTTGTACCGTTTTCTGTTTCACTACTGATGACTGATAAATACGCCATTTCTATCTTTGAAAGAATAAAAGATAAATGGACACTGGCTAAATTAACACTATTGTTAAATAGCCTTTTGTGCAAACTGTAAAACAAACTGATGTATGCTTCAAACAAGATGCTCATCAGATGGTCTGACAGCGACTGACACCCTGTGCATTTGACAATTTGTATAACTTTTTGAAACAGACAACACAATATGGCTACTTTATGCAACAACTGGTCAGATACACAAAAGCATTTGAATCTCTCTATCAAGCTGGTTTTTCCCCATTCCTTACAGAACTCCTTCAGTCGCTTCTGTGCAACAGCACAAAATGTATCTGAGGAAAGTGTACACTATTATTTCCATAAGATGTCTCTAGGCTACTGTAGGATGCAGCCAGGAGGAGGCTGTTATGGAAGGTGGAGCTACCTGACCATCACAGAGGTCAATGAGCTGGGCCTTCTCCCTGCTGGCCCTGATGAGTTTACTCTGAAGCAGCTTGCCATCAAAGTACATCCATGGACAGCAGTGCTCCCAGGGAATGGGCTGTCCGCAAGCGTCATTGGCAAACAGAGCCATGTCCACTCCGCTCATGAACAAGGCTGCCAGCTGGACTCCTCGAGGGTCCAGGTTGTCAATCTGTGGGAGAGAAACCGAGACTTTTTATGAAAAGAAAAGACAAGTATGAGCATGTTCTCCTAACAACTCCCCCTGAAGTTAATGAAGTGCAAAGCAAAGCACAGAGCAAGCTTAAGCAGCCCTCTGACTCTCAGCTGGCAATACAGCAGTGGACAACCTAACCCAGCCAACACACAAAGCCAGCAGACACAACCTACATGTTCTGACACAGGGAAGAGCAGACAGGCTGAACAGAGCTACACGCAGACAGATACAAGGACCAAAGCACATAGCTCATGTGGATGGTTCACATTAACAAAGGTCAACTGAGAATGCCTCTGGGATGTGAGACATGGAGTTGAGAAACCATCCACACATCGACAGGAGAACACCTTAAAGCTCTACAAATAGATGTTGTAGTGCAAAGCTTCAGGAACATACTCAAACAAAACCTTCTTGTGTCCAAGCATGTTGCTGTGTCTGCAGCATATGAGGAGTGTCCAGAGAAGCCAAACAACAGAAGTCCAACAAGCAGAGGTTGGCCAATACTCTCATCACTCTGCACGTGCAAGTACATACAAAGCACCTGAGCGACTGACAGCCATTCATTCATGTGTTGTGTGTGCTTCTCAGACACTCCTCCTATAACAAACACTACAAAATCACCTTCAGTTCCTGCAGCTGGTCAGGCTCATAAAGTTTAGGAGAAAGTGCTTGGGCTAGGAAAGCGTCAAGTTCGTTACGACGCAAAATTCTTAATCCTGGCCAATGTAACATAAACCTGAAGCAAAACACAGAAGGTTAACAGCGTTACAAACACCTGGAACTGATCAGCACTGTTGTAATGACTCCTCACTCCCTTGGTTCAATTCACACTGGACTCTCTTCTTACAGAGAAAGTGAATGATACAGACTGTGTACATATTGCATCTGTGCCCTAAAGCCACAGTTCATCTAGGTCTTAGCAGTCAACTTACCGCAGCACACAGCAGAGCACCAAGAAGGGTGTGGGGACGTTGGTAGGGTTTAGCATAGCAGGAGTGTCGGAGCGCATGCAGGCCAGGAACGCCCTCATCCTGCGGTTTTTGTCCTCAACAGCCTTTCCCAGCCACAGCTTCTTCAGATTGGGACAGGTCCACTCCCTGAAGGGCAGAGCCTCCACCAGCTCTGGAGTGTGGGGAGCCTTGCCTTTGTAGGCGGCCCATTCTTTGACCATGACATTGGTAACTGGTGGACAAAAAGAAAAAAGGGATTTAAAGAGATCAGTTTGTCTTTATCAAGTGTCTCATGATCACTCCTGGGAGCCACATTTAAAATTTATCATGGACTGAAAACAATACTATCTCAGATTTGCTCTTGAAAGTTGATGGTTATTTACTTATTACTTAGAAGCACAGCTGGACTAATAAACTGGCCACTGGCATGACACTGTTATTGGATTAAGCTCACAAATATCAATATTTGTTTCAAAACTTCACCATTAGTCACACTATAGGTAGAGTCCTTCTGCACTTCACTTAATGTGATGTTGCTGTTTAACAACAGTGAGAGCAACTAAGCAAACATGTTTTCAGCGGTACAGTAATGCGGTTTCTCTAACAGCTACAATTTGGAGTGTTAAACAGTGATAGGATTCATAACAGAAAATAGTACTGTAGGCTTTGTATACTGGGCAAGTAAACTACTGATTTATCCAATATATCCGCAAAAACATTATGCTTAAATGCAGTAGTCTCATAACATTATCTAATCTCCATCTGCTCCAACTGGCCATGTATGTTTAAAGACAAAGAATTTGACAGTGACTCTCAATGTGCTTTTGTAAGGCAATGAGAAAATAAAAATAGGAAAATGTATGCAATCAAATAAGAAACATAGTAGAAAATAATAATAGGGGGAAAAAAAAAGATTAATTTGGTACACAATGCAACACTGAACATTTGACAGTTGTAGTAGCATGGAACAATGTATGCATTTGCATACTGGAAACGCTGAATGTTTCTATTTTTTCACAAAAAACTCCACTGGGTACCTCTAAAATGAACATCTGGAATTTTTCATGGGGAAAAGGTTGAAATTGAGAGGAATGAAATTTTATTCGGTTCAAATAAAGGTTTGTGGTCTGCTCATTAGGGGACCACTGATTTGTGCAACATATCTGAGACACTGTATGAACAAAGCTATTTAAGCTGCACAAACTGTAGTTTGTGGCAAGGTGGTTCCAGCAGACTGTATTTGTTCTTCTCTACATCCTGCCTGCACAAAGTCAGCCACAATAATGATTTTGATAGTTTTAGAATAAGCACAGCATAATCAATATCCATCCATCTTCCCATGGCATGTGCACACACTGCATGTCTCATCCTGAATGACATCTCCTGGTGACTTGCTTGGGGAATTTTCAGCCAGAGACGCTAGACAGATACAGGCCGATAAACATCAGTGCGTGATGGGACCCAGTGACATAAAGGAGCTTTCTAATCACCACACTCACATTCAGGGAGGCAGTTCTTCCTCATGGCGAGTCTCTCAGCCTTCTTCCTGGCTTCTGCTAGGCTGAAGAGTACTCCGTAAACATACTGACGGATAGGACGAAACAGCTGCACTGCTGAAGGCAGATCTTTGTTAGCTTCATCTTCAATGGTGACAGAAAGTTTAATCTCTCCCTGCAAAGACACACTGTTACCTCAGTGCTGCACAATGACTCCAGTGATTCACTAAAGGTATTTTGTCTAGACATTTGAATGCCTGTGTTTTCTTGAAATCTACTATTTCTTTTGTTATACAGTGGTCCCTCGCTATAACGCGGTTCACCTTTTGCGGCCTCGCAGTTTCGTGGATTTTTTTTGTGTGCAATTTTGCATGCTTTTTGCATGCCATGTCTCCTGTACAGTACAGAAATTAAATTCGTTAGTTCTAAAATCCATCATTATTATTTATAGGAAAACGTTTATACAGTATTTTTTATTTATTTATATTTTATATTTATTATTTTTCTATGAAGGTTTGAACTTTGAGAATGTTTAAACAAGAGAGAAAAGTGTGAAAATGTTAATGCCTGTCTGAGAAAAGTGTATAAAGTGTGTAGTGAGGGGTTTTACAGCCTTAAAACATCTATAATAATTGTAAAAAATAAAGCTGACTACTTCACGGATTTCGCCTATTGCGGGTTATTTTTAGAATGTAACTCCCACGATTAACGAGGGACCACTGTATTTTCATGAGCAAGGCTAAAAAACAAAGAAAGAAAAAAAACAGGATACAACATCTGAGCTACAAGCAGCTTCAAACCAAACATAATCAGCATCAGCCTACATGACCCAGACCCACCGACCTTGCTAAGAAGATGGTAGATATAGGGATACATAAGGCCCTTCTTGTGTCTGTGCTCTGCCACCCGCAGGACCTCAGGGGCCACGGCGGGGAGAGGCGGGATGGTGATGTCCATGTGGTTCCTGGTGGGCATGGAGAGAAGTGAGGGGATCTGGGCAATCATGTTGTGGAGACCAGCAGCCTGCAACCCAGAGCTCACAGCAGAGGTCTTGCAGAGGTCCGCCTGATGACACATGACACGTCCACTTTATTAACCTGGTGAGATTTCTCATCATGTTCATTGTGTGGTATTCCTGATGGTGAGCTTACTTTTGATTGCTCTCCCAGGTTTCCCTCTGATGTGCTTTCACAGTGAGGAGCATGTCCATTTTTCTCCCATCCTTCCTTATGGTCACTAACATGACTGAAAAACATTGCATACATATGAATCACATAGCAGCAAAAATATAAACAATTGATCATCTGGCTGGCAGAGTATAATAGAAATGATGCTGACTATTTACACTGCGACATATGAAATATCAATATTATTTGCTTGCAGAAACATGCAACAGATATTTGACATTAGCAGAAAGTCTCCTAGGGAGCAAGTACTCCAAGAAAAAGAACTGCAGATGTAGTGCGGCAACAGTTGTTTTCACAATCAATTAATCTGCCAGCTATTTTCTTGTTTGATCATTTAATGGAATAAACTCTCCAAACAGTGAACAGTACATCAGTTTTTACAAATGTATTGAAATGCCTATTTTACCTAAAACCTAAAAATATTCACTATAAAATTGTCAGAAAAAAAAACAGTTAATTAATGAATCAACTATTGAAAACAAGACTAAGAGTCAAGAGTAGCCTGGCATCTAGAGGGAAACAAGACCCATGCCAGGCTGTGATTAACTCTACGTAACACTGTTCACATTCACATCCTGCTATGTACATGTCCCTTCATGTCTGTGGGTGTATTCTCTTGCTGCACAACAAATTGCTCCTTGGGTGCCAAATAAAGCTGAGCTTGAACAGCTGTGCTACTAACTTCATGAGGCTGTACTTAGGCACGGTGATGTTTAGCAGATAATGTTCAGCATGACCACATTCTTAGTTTATTCTTTTAGCATGCTAGCATATGTAAATGTGGAGAGGAAAAAAAAACTACAGACTTGTTGGGTCATTAGTTTTGCAGGTATTTGGTCATAAGCCAAACTGTTGAATAAGCTAAAAAAGTCAGGGGATCACCAATTCATCCTGAGGAGACATGAATGTCTGTAGCAAATGTCATGGCGATTCATCAAATGGTTGTAGAGACATTTTGCCAAGATGCCTTCACTGATAGCTAGACTAGCTTATTAATGTTCATACTACAAAAGCCAATTACAGCTGCCTGAGGCTGATGGGTGGATGCTGCTTTCTATGTTCATCCCCAGTGCAGTTCACATTGAATCACTGTGTGGCTGCTGTGCAGCTCCAAATATGTTCCAAATCCAACACAGTTCTGAGCTGGGCATCTTTGTGCAGAGTATAAACCCTTTTGGTGATAAAAGCACTTAAGTCTCGGCAAAACCAATGTTGCTGTACTGCTGTTGTGACTTTAATTCAACTAAATAACAGGTGAACTCTTAATGAGCACAGTGATATTCCTGCTATCAGCTGATCACTCTTCTATATCAACCACAGCACAAACTAAAGCCAAGGTTCTCTAAACAGTAGGAGCCAAATAATGAGCAGTGCATAAGAGCATTTTTGCATTTGCTGCAGGTGGTGCTCATGACCTTGCAACCATTTCTACAAATTGTTTTTAAAACCTACTTTCATGCCCAAAATTTAAAAGAAGTTTTAGAACAAAATACTAACAAAGCTTATTTAGGAAACAAGCAACCATCTCCTAATAAACTGTAACTGTAAACTTATTCCAGTAACAGCAGGGGAATTACGTTGTCACTATTAAGGATGGTGATTACAAACAGGGCGAAACTAATGTAATGAAGCAGAATATGTGCTCTGAAAGCATGGCAAAACATTGGTCTTCACTGTGGACAAACGACCCAAGAGAATGAGAAAAGGCCCGGCTGTGGGACAATGTACATGACAGACTGATGATCTCTAGAAGTGTGAGAAGAGAAACGAGCTTCTCTATGAATGGAGACAGTAATAGACAGAACCAGTAGTGCTGAACTCACTTGGCAGTTGAGCCCAAGCTCTCGTCATTCTCAGAAGAAGAGGATGTGGAGGAGGCGTTGAAGAAAGGAGTCTCTGTGTGGCTAGGGCTGTCAGCCAGGCCCCGGCTAATGGGAGAGGACCTCTCATACAGCGGTGTGTGCTTCCCTTCATGAGGAATGTTGCTGAAGCTGTTCTGCACTGGGAGCCCTTTCTCCCCTGTGTCCAGAGCCAGACTGTGCTCCACCACAGGCTCTGGGTACAAGTGCTTGGCCTGAAGACAGAGAAGGAAAATCTTACGTCAATCTCACAAAGCTGAGCCACCTACAGTACTTCACGCTTGTACTCGGTGTGTTCGGCAGTCTTACGATTGGTTTTGCCGGCAGTGGCACCTGTGGAATGTTCAGCATTTCTGGAGATGACACTGCAGCAGGCACACCCAGGTCTTTTGGTCTGACTGTGACAAAAAAAGACAAAAAGCTTCAGCATGCAGACTGAAGAGGCTGGACCTGGCCAACAGAGCTGGAACTAAAGGGCTTTTCATGCTTTCTGCATACCCTTGTGCAGACATGGACAAACTTGCATTCCTATTCATATAGTTCTTCAAGCACTGTGGTATATGCACAGTCAGGACTTTTTGTTTTGCAGACAGTCTGCACAGACACAAATTTCTGGTCTGTACAAAGATGTCTGCACATAGTCTACATGGACCCGGGAAGATGATGACATTTGTGTCACTGGACCATAGTGGACACATGGAAAGCATGAAGTGGCCTAAAACACAGAGGTGTTAGCTACAGCTGTGGTTCAGGTTTAAAGTGGCTATAGCCGATGTATTATCATCACACTGAGAGAGGGATCTCTGGTAGTGAGGAACCTACAGAATGATCAGCTTTATTGAGTGTTATAGTGAGTCCAGTTTATCGTTTAGTGGTTGGGCCGAGTTATTCGCTGTTTTGGTTCATTCTCACTGTTCTCACAGGGTCTTTTCGGCCATGGCAGGGCAGCAGTTTTCAGTGGGCTAAGTAAAAACCCACTGTACACTCCCTGAACTGCTCTGATCATTGTATCGTACATTTAACAGACAATATGAATTTTCAGACCAGTCAATAAGAGTTTTTGTTTTCCAGGCTTGCTGCCACAGACCAAGAGACACTGAGAAGTTGACAGGCTACATCCAGACCACAGCAGCAGTAGGAACACAGCGTAAGGCATTTTCATTTCTCAGTTTCTCCTCTCACTGCAGAGAAGACTGATGACTGATTTGTATGAGCGCCTAGCAGTCTCAGAGCAATCACAAGGAACACACTGTACAGTCACTTTAATCCACATCTGATACTCACACAGAGATCAGTTCTAAATCAAACCCTGCTTCTTTTCAGTACCATTGATCTATCAAAAAAATCACACCAGATATTTTCAAGGCAGCCTTCACGCATCACAGTGATAAAATGATCAGATAGACAGAAACCCACCTAACTGTGGAGGGCAGTACGGGGGTTTGCTGGCCTGTGAGTAGTACTCCACAGCCTTCTTGAAGCGGATGACTTTGTCATCAGTGCAAGACTGAAAGAAAAATATTAAAGCACATATCACACTGTGCACAAGCTGAGAGCAGACTGATGTCTACAGAAGAAAATACTTAAGGCAAAGGTGTCGTTAGTTATGGACTGGATTTACTATTTCACTCTTTAGCTTATAAAACACTTCCTACTTTTCAGTCCATAGCAAAATGGTAGAATCTAGATAACTGTCTTTCAAGCAATGTTTGCCAAGTCTAAACAATGTCAGAATGACAAAGGAAACCCAAATATATACCCTTTTCTCTTCAGTTTATGTTAATTCAGCTATGATTCTTCTGTTCCAGTGCACACTACCTGCATATACTGGACATGTGTTTTTTGTTAGGATGCCATTTTCCTCACTGAGAAAACAAATGCACAGATTTTATAGGTGGTTATAAAATTCAAATGAGAAAAGGAAATTGTGATTCTGGTAATAATCCATGATTATACATTATACAGCAGGATTAAGCCACATATTCAGTTTTTCCTCTTTTCAGAGCAGCACATTTATGGCTCATTATTCTTGTTTCAGGCTTGTGGCAATAGTTTCACTTCCACAATACAACTAAGTCACCAAAATTGTTGCACAGAAGGAAAAACTGAAAAACCTCTGTTTAAAGCTGGTGTTTTTGTTGCATCTGTATCTTATACCAAACTGAATGTTACAAACATTATGAAGCCTGGATATGCTACAAACCCCACATAAACAACAGGTTTTACAAAAGAGAAAAATGTAACCTGTTTGGATTCTAAAAGTGTCATCAAAAACAATTTGCAACATATCCATCATCTTGAGTAGATGACAGTGACTGTCCAGTTCTGAATAATGAGCCACTCCTATGTTGATGTATCAGTCCAGCTCTATATTCCTCCCACCTGTGAATACTTGAAAATGTCCTTGGCAATGACCTCCAGTTCAGTGATGTCTGGAATGTTGCGGACGTAATCAGCCACAACCTTGATTACTACATCACAAGGTGGGAGCACAAGCTGGTGGGCACGCACCTGAGGAACAACAACATAATGAAGATTTGAGGAGACCATCAATTACAGATTTTTTACATTACTGTGTACAGTAAGGACTTGTTGCCATTTAAAATGCTACAATACCCATGAGCCTCACCCATTGCAATGGACAACAAGCCAATTAGAGGTGCAAACTAGAGTTGTAGGGAATTCAAAACACTTCATTGTAGGAGGAGATAACTGTTCACCATGGTCACCGAATTAATCCAAAATTAATTCAGAATCCAAAATGTTATTCATTTATACTGCACATTATAGTTTTCTCAGCACTTCAAAGTCACAGTGAAAGCGTAGTTAGTATCTCTGTATCTAGTAATGTGAAGTATTTCTAAGAGGTGTCTGAATAAAATTGTTAAGATTTGACTGAAGCAAAATTAGTGAATACGCCCTCCTTCTCTCAATCACACTAATGAGGTAATGATTTAGAGAACAACCAGTAACCTTTGGAATTAAGTTGTTTAAAGCACAGACAATAACATCATGGATTGTTAATCCGCTCATTAACCAGCAACACATCACATGCGGCGACACATTGTCTCAAACAGTCAAAACAAACAGGTACTATGCTCTTGGGGAATCCAGCATTGATGAGCTGATCATTCACCACTGTGGGGGCTTCACAGCTGCTTATAGGTTAGACCCAGTCAGGTAAAACAGTGAGTCCCTGTACAAGAACATTCCTGGACATGCAGTAACCTCAGGCCCTGTAATTTTCTCCACATCCTCTGGTCACAGTGCAGCAGCAGGAGGGAAAATATATCCACAAATCCAGGCACAGTCAAAAAATTCCGCTTTTACAGGGGTTTCTTAATTACCCACTTTGTTTAGAGTGTTATAAATCTCTTTTCATTGGTACATATACAGTTGTTTACCCATCTATGGAGGAGAAATTCAAATTAATTAATGCCATTGGGTTTGGTGTGTGGACACTTTCGACAACAGCAGCAGCAGGAGGAGTTTGCGTTCACAAACTATCCTCTCATTTTCAGAAAGCGACACTCTGATTTTATCACTCTGAAATAATTACAGACTATTTGGAGTTATGAGGGGTTCAAACTAATCAACATTAAATCATTAAACATTAATAACAGATTTTAATATTCAAACAGCAATGCTTGCACAAATACAAATCCATAAGCATTTACATGTTGTCTATGATGCACACCAATTTTGCTCGAGTCTGATTTACTCTGTAAATGTGCAGGACTAGCAGTTCATCTGCCATTGTGATGGAAGCCACACCAGCATGTGCTGCATTTCCTGTGCATATGTAATGTATCATGTGTCAGATGTCACGTTAAACATGTCTTCTTCTGGGATGACAACAGCCATCTTAAAAGAAGGGTGACATTCTGCCAGCTTTGCTTAGTTTAGTGCAAATAAGTAAAGACAACATACAGAAGAGTCAACCTAATGGCATAATTTAACTGCTCCTTTCAAAACTATTTTCATATTCTGTTGAGAAACTGAATGCCAACAGTGAGTGTCTGAGAAACAGCTTGATACAGCAGGCTCAAGTACTCAGATCCACTGCAGGAACAATACCGTGACTAGTGACAACAGTACTCAGTGTATCACAGTATATGCTGACTGTTACTACAATGCCGTAACAGTCCTGTGATTGTAAGAAAACAAAAAACAAACCGTTTACCTTCAAAGATGCTAATGGATGCTCTGGACCAAGTAAGCTCCAGTGAAAAGCAGCCAAGTCTTCATCAGGCAGTATGTGGTTTCCTGAAAAACACATTAAAGCGTAGTTGCTTTAGTCTGCCTCATCTGAACTATCAGTTTCATTTATACTGTGTCCAGAAGAGCCAGGCCAACCTAAAAGTGATGCAAAAATGACAAAACGATGTGGGTGGAGGTCAAGCTGCCGAGCCACTTCATGCATCAGGTACTGGTTGGTGGTGAGGCTTTTGCTGTTGCGGCTCAGTTTGAGGGCATGGGCACTGTAGTAGTATGGGATGTTGCACAGAGCATAGTCCGAGTCATACGCCACCAGGCCATGGAAGCCGTTCTCCTTGCATAAGGCTATCACTTCCAGGTGGTGGTCCGTGATGCTCTGGACAACCTGAGAGGGGGCCAAGACAATAATTAGGCTTTCTCAGAAACAGGATGACCAGACACAGTTTTGATGGACTGAGTAAAAAGCCTTACACTGCTGACTGGATAGTCAAATAAGGGGACACCCAATAATCCACGTAATTAAAATGTTATCCAGAATGTGTCACAAGAACTGCTCTCGAAACACCGACTTTTTTATATTAGACAACATGATGAGGGTTTGTGATATTTTCTTTAAATAATTTTTGTAACATCACTTGCAATGAGAAGCATAGAGTTCCATTTTTGCCTCCTGAGTTGACAGCCTGCCTTAAACTAATAAATGTAACTGACAGCAGAAACAAACAATTTAAATTAAATTGACAGAAAAACTTCCATCCACACCACTGGGACCCCAATACAAGTACAGCAGATCAGTGCATTCCTCATTCCTGCATGCAATTTGTGCTAAAAGTGTGAACAAGTCATTGCCCTATAAACCAAATCAAATGGGTGGTAGCAGCTCTGCAATGCTGCTACCAGAGGAGAAGAAAGCTACTTGCAAAATAAACTGTATCTTTACTAATTTTGCACTGCTAAGTATACTATAGAGGTTCACCTGAAATATGGATACATTTCTGCAGTATAACTACTTGGGTCATATTTGAGACTTACTAAATCAATCACTGCTGACTCTCTGTCAAGTGGACAAATCAGCTCACTCTACTGTTTGTATGTTGGTGACTTCTGTTGTCAGCTTCTCATTTTTGTCCTCTTGGACTCTTCTGTCGGTACCTCACTAGGTTTTGCTCTGCTGGGACACCTGGACTTTTATCAATAATGGAACCCCATCACAGTATTCATACTTTGAGGTCATGTCACAAAATCAAAGTGAGTAAAATGCATGCCACTGACACCAGGAGCACACTGATTAAGTTGGCAGCGTATGGAAGCAGCTTTTACAGTGGGTGAAGCTGGCAGTGTTGGCGCGGTGGCCAGCTAGCTGGCTAACCACGGAGCCTGCTAATGTCTGTTAGTGGCAGTCCAGAACGGCTGTGCTCAACGGGCACTGCCAGGACGAGTGTTCACTCACCCCCACGCGGAACCTGAGAAGCGCCAGTCGAATGCAGTGGGCCATGCACACGGGAGGAAGGAACCAGACTTTTGGTGGCGGGGTGCCCTTATTCTGAACATGGCTGATGATCTGCTGGGCAGTCTGCCTCTCGTTCACCTGCCGCTTGACCCACTCGTGAAGGCGGCCTTTCTCCAGGGCGCCATTGAAGCACACCATGAGCTCAATATTGCCGTTGAAGCAGGCCCTGGAGAGGGCGGCCAGGTAGCCCAGCATGTGGTTCCACTGGCCCCCGCTGACCCAGTCGGTGTAAAAGCCTCCGTAGAGCCGGTGAAGACAGTTCTCGGCGTCAACCAGCAGTCTCAGCGGACTCTGAGGGGATCTCTGCCGTCCACCTCCAACCATACTCCCCCTGGCCAGCTTCTGTAGCTCCACCGGCACCACGGCGCTGGGGCAATGCTTTTCAATGTACTCTTGGAAACCTTGGACACCCATGTTGAGCTTCTGTTATACAGACGGTAAACTTAAAGAGGACAGTAAAAAAAAAAAAACCCGAAATGCCAAAGGAAAATAAACCGACGAAGGATGCAGTGCACCTCTGCCTCTTCCAGTGCCTGACAACCAGTTGGTACCTGTGGGATATTGCAGGAGTTTGAATAATTTTTTAAATAAACGAAAAAAGACTGCTATTTAGGCATCGCTAATTTTGGTAAGTTGTGGCTTTTGGTTCATGGCTGCTAGCTGCCATGTGTCGGTTCACGGAGCCATGTCTGAGGTTGTGAATCTGTCCGGCGTGAGAGAGAGCGAGACAGGAAGACATGACGGAATGACGCACACAAACGTACACGGGTATATGAGTGAAGCAAGAGGGTTCATTGTTGCCTCCTTTGTAGTTAAAGGCAAACGCCATGCAAACACACCGCTCTCATAGTAAAAAGCAATAGTTTAGTTATCCAGGTAAGAATAAATCAACGCTGTCATTAGTGCCAGTGGATATGGATGTCAAAAAAGTAACCGTGTGATGTTTGTCTGCGAACCGAATCTCGTAGATATACATCTTTGACAGAATCTCGCTAACAACCTTAGCTAGATAAACAGTGAACACAACGGCTAACCGTGTTCACAATAGGAAAGCCCGTAAACATGAACAATGGCCAAGTATAATGCATGCAGCAAAGAAAAAGCCGACAAAAAATCAATGTAGGAGAAATATAGGGGCACCTTGGGGCTGACTTAAAAATTATTTTTGAATCCAGTGACAAGCCATTGCATCGAGCAGAATTAGGGTTGTCGAGGCTGAGAACTATCTTGACAAGTGTGGCTCTTTGGGTCTGAGGGTTTCCTCTCCTGATTTGTGCTGAGGTCACCATTAAAAAAAACAGTGAGCAGGTTTCCCCAAATATTAAGTTCCAATTGAATTTAAAGTCACCTACCATCAGACCTAAAAATAACTTATTAGGATTTTAGAGAGCACCGGGTTACACAAGATAATATAAGGTGAACTGAGTGGGGTTATTTTGGTGTGGTAATAGGTACCAAACACTCCAGTCTGGAAGGTGGCCTTAATGCACCTAAAGCTGTTTGCCAACCCTCATTAAAACAGAAGAAGAAGAAGAAGAAGAAGATGACGACCTAAAATGAGTCATTCTGCATATTTCAAAAAGTTCACCATAGTCAGGAAAAAGAATAAGTGCTACCAATAGACTGCCAGTGTTGGGAAGGTTACTTATGAAATGTAATATGCTACAGATTACTAGTTATCCTATTAAAAATTGAATAAGTAATGTCACTATTTTAATCGCTTAAAATAATGTAATCTATTACTTGTAATTACTTTTTGATTACTTTCCTAATAAGTGTTTTAAACTGGGCAATAAAGCTGAAATGTCCTAAAATACACATTTAACCCAGGCAGTGTAAAGCTCACAACAGAATTCTACTGTAAAACATTTATTTAAGGTTCTTCAGCCTGTAGCCAACTGAACGGAAACCAAGAAAAACCCTTTTCTGATTTCAGAAGAAAATATTGTTGAATTTCGAGCATTGAAAAGGTTTTTGGTTTTTTTGTTCGTTTGTTTGTTTTTGTCCACCATCTGTCTGCCTTGGCATTGTTGGCTGGTCACAGCCAGGTATAGAAGACTCAGGTTGGTTAGAGCAATGTACAATGATTTGATAGAGGAGAGTTGGTGCTAAGCCAAAGAAGAGAACAAATCAAAAGCGATGTTCAAAATTATAAGAGCATGCTAAATGAATGTAGCCTGTCTAGACAGCTCCTTGTTAGCCATCCTACCTATGATGTTGTTGCACTTAAATTTAAGTTTAAACATGCCAAAAGAAGGCGTTCTGTACGGTGAAAAGATGCAAAAAATGAATGTTATATAAACATACAAGCATTTTACCAAAAAGAATATATTCAGATATAACCCCTTTGTAATAACATCATTTTTATAGTAACTGTATTTTAATTACACATTAAAATTATTACACATGAATGAATAATTACACATGACACAGAGCAACCTACCTTCAAATGAGTGTCCAACCTCCTAAATTTGTATAATTTATACAAAATACAATTAATCTGAAAACATTTCTGACCCTCAGATTGTAACATAATTTCTTCCATCACAACCCAGTCACATGTCCCTGTGGCTTTTCAAATCATGTACTGAAATGAATACATGTGAATACATGCCCTCTGATGCTACAGTATATTTGACACTTCTCCCCTATACAGTTCTCTTTGTACATTGTTGCATATCATAATAAAATTACATCAAGTTGACATCAATATTAAAATAATAAAATGACAATATTAAATATTAAAAAGACACTTGGTCAGTACTTGATTATGCAGTACATTACAGCCAGACCAGCAAAGGCTCCATTTGTTTTACTCTTTACCTTGGGTGTTGTCATGCTTTGCTACCTTTATCGAAGCATTCCTTTTATATTTTTATTCCTGACTCAGCATAGTCTCTTTCTGTCCTGTGTTATTTAAGTCCGCTTGATTCTCCAAAGATCAGTCATCTGTGTTATTCATGCTAGCAGCAGATCTTCTTTCTATTGTGTCTGCCCACATTATGAAGATAACAGGTACAGTCTGATTTCTCACTTCAGTGGGTCCCGCACCTACAACACTCATATGGTGTGTGTATGTGTTTGTGTCTATACATTATAAGAAATGAGCAGTTGAGAATGTCTCAAGCAGAAGAGAAAAGATAAACAGGAAATACTGATAATAAATGAAAGCAACAAAGCATATTTGTCTTTAATTCATGTCTGTATCCTCAGAACAACTTGTGTTGGAGAAAACTGTATGGGTTATTGTGGGTGATTTGTGTGTGTGTGTATCTGGCACCTTCTCCCACAGTGGTGGCACCATAGATGCAGTTAAAGATCTCCTCCAAGTTGGGTGACATCACCACTAAACCTTTGATCCCTCTCTCCAGCTCCACTAGGGATGGACTAACACACAAACATACACAGATACAGCAACAGTTTAGTCATGTTTACTCCTTTTATTGCAGGTGTTTAGTAGTCACTGCTTTCTAGTCTGACCTATTAGAATAACTGTGCACTCTGCAGTGTGTGCATTTTATGAACCAACACAGTGCTGTTAATTAAGCTGCTGAGTTGTGGATGCCAGGACACTTATATAAAGTTAGGTTTTCTTGACAGTTTGTTATGGTACCACCTGTTGCTGATTTGATGTTGGTGCAGCACATTTCCTTTAGATTTCTGCATTGCAATCAGTTACACTTTAGTGACTGGTTTAATCACCCCTGTCTGACCACCCCATTAGCACAAGACACAATGTTGGTAAATCATCTTGAAACTGTTTGACCAAACCTCATAAATTATTCAACCAAATTGTCTGTAAATTGACACACACAATTCATTTTATTTAACAGGTAAATGTCTTCCCAAGCCAATACAAACACACTGAAATGGTATTTGTGTATCTTTATAGTGTTATGTACAGTAAATACTGTACCTGCATGATCCAAATCACCCTAAAACTGACTTTCATTTGTTTACTTTTCATTTAATGTTTCCATATTCACCATTTAAAATGCTACACAGCCTTGCCGGTGCAAGATTAAAAATTGTAAAACCCCTGTGTAATTTATAAATATTTAGTAATGACGAATTGCAAATCATGTTTTAATTAACATTTTTGGAAAAAAAGAGCTCACTCAGATGTGTGCTCTTTCCTCCACCCCATGTTATTTCCCATGTAGTCATCCTGTTTACTTTATCTGTGTAAACCATCAGTCATCTATCAATGTAAAGCCCTCTTCCCTTGAGACTTGCACTGGTGAGGACCAGACAAAATGTCCTCACTCTGTATCAAAAACATTTTTTTTGGTCCTCACTATGTAGCAAGTAGAAGAACACACACACACACACACACACAGACAGAGAGAGAGAGTCCATACATGATGGTGTCCATCAGAGAGTTATATCTCTGGACCACATTAAGTAGTGAAGAGTTGTCCTGGAGGAGGGATGAGGTACCCTCATAATCAATCAGTGCTGGGATCTTCCCACAAACATCTGCCAACTGCTCTAATACCTAAAAGCACCGTGTAAAGAAGTGGCCTGAACTTTGTCTTGGACTAACAGAAGAGGATGAAATCCTAATAGCAACAAAAATACTGAGTTCTGGAGGTCCCCCTTGAGACTGCTCCTAAACTGTTACAATGCTGCACTCTGGATAAAGAACTACATTACATATTCCTAGATCTCTAGCTACTTACAGTACTGACTGTCTGCCAGTGTTGTGTAACTATATGGAGGCCTCAGCATTGCTTGTTCTGAATATAGTCTGGTCAGCCTGAAACATGAGAGGCTGTAAATGGAACTGACACTGCCGACATGTCAAATACACCTCTGTCACAAACTCTTCATGGTACATTATCAAGGTTGTTACACACTTTTTAAAATCAAATTTAAGATTTTTAGGACCTAAAGAAAGGGCCATCTCCACAGAAGAACAAAGGAACATCAGCATAGGTGTGTCATGTGTAACAATTTTTCATTCAAATAAAATGATAAAATATCAAACACAGACATGATTGTGAAGCCCATATATGCATAATACATGGGATAATGTATTATGCTATATCTGCTTTAAAGCAAAAGCTTATTTACATGACAATAGAAAAATCTATAGGTGTGACAACAGAATCATTTACATTATAATAGTGAACAGCATGTGCAGCGTATGGTTTTTAATGCAACAGTTCTACAGAAAATCCTCCTTCATGATAGTTATAATGTTCAGTTTTTGTTGAAACTTTTCTATGTTTCTATGTAAAATGATTGGTTGGAAATGACAGTTAATGGACAGGATTTGTGCAAGTATTCTTGTCAGTCTTCATCAAGGCCAAAATGTCTGTTTCTTAGGTTGTAATAATCGGACTATCCACTTGGTGGTGCTGCCAACCTTCCTTGAACTCATTGCAACTAAAAGTCATGTTGCCAGACAACTACAACATGACTTTGTTTATTGAAACTTAATAAATTAGCAGTGTGCATTTGAGTTTATAGCATTTAGACAGGTAAATACAGTGTTCTACAACAATAAGATATGGCAGAATATACAGTATGTGTGTGTATTAAATGTCTCACTTGAAGAAGGGCTGGTTGATGGAAGCGTCACAGAAGTAGTCACTGATGTATGTGGTTAGAAGGTGTCTATCCCAGTCATCTGTGACATGGCCTCCATAGCTGACCCCAGCAATGAGGTACCTCAGTGCATCACAGGGAATCTGCTCATAGTCATCAAGAGGGTCACCAAGAAAACGATCGTTACAAACTAAAGGTAAAGACAGACTAGAGAGAA